TTTATCCTGGAGTGCTAAACATGACGTGTTTTTCCACTAAAAAGTTGGAAATGATCATGTGGTTTAAAGCAACTGTTTAAAGCAAAACAAGAAGGGAAAAAAGTTTTTCTTTAGTTTGAATTGTAGTTGTAGGATTTTAATTTAATGGGCATAGATAGTTGGGGAGAGCCTGATTTCATCCACAGGAACAGAGAAACAAAACCTGAGAAATATCAGTTTTTAATTAGATATATTTTAGTCTACAGCTACCTAACTAGACTAACTGTAATGAGTAAATCCTGACTAGGTTCTAGTAAAGTTGACAATTCCTGTGTTAACTTCATCAGTTCTTTTAATGATGTTGGACTTCATGTATTCATAAGGAAATCATTTTCTTCCAGATGAGAAGAAGAAAACCAAATCCATTGACAGCGAGGTGAACCCTGTCTGGAATGAGGTAATCAATGCAACTTGTTATTCCTTCAAGTCAACATGGTTACTGCGATGATGTCAAACCCCCAAAAGATTTGAGATAGCAGGAGAAGTGTTTACAGTTCATTTATCAGCTGTACCTCTTGTGTACATCTCTCCCTTCAGGTTCTTGAGTTTGATCTAAAAGGTGTTCCCCTGGACTCTGGCTCCCAGCTAGACATTGTTGTGAAAGACCGGGAGACGATTGGGAAAGATAAGTAAGTTAAATACAGCCTGAAGGCTGTTTGGTTTACACAATAAAGGGATTTCAGTAATAAGGTAGTTGGGAGGAACCCTACCTTCATAATTCCTATCCTGAACCGTCCTGAGTGAGAACTGAGTTTGTAGGAAACCTTTTATTTTTTAGTTGCAGAATGGATCAGTTTTTGAATCCCAAATTAACACTCATGTACTAGAGTACATAAAATCCTTGAAATGACTGAGATATAATTCTGGTTGTCTCCACTCACGCCCTTCTCACCATGCTGAGACTTGCTGGACTGTGTGGGATGAGAGAATCTGATTGGCTAACAATGACTCCCTCTTAGTCCCTGTCTCTGTGTTGGATTTATGTACAGAACATTGGAAATTCCTTATGCAAATGGGGCCAAACTTCTCTACTATGAGCCTCTACTATTAAACAGCCACCTAAAACTCAGCTTTAATTAAAGCCACATGTGGTACCAATCTGTGCCAACCAGAAAAGAATGTTTCCATCCTCCCTAAATGCCTCTAATTTTAGAGATCAAAGCCATCTTGTATTTAAAAAAAAAAAACTTGCAGCGTAAGATAATCTTTTTGTAGATATAGAATATGTAAATGTATATCCAAATTTTTTCTGTGCTGTGTAAAAGTTTCCCTTGTGTTTGGGCAGTCATGTTGAGGGAGGTGCATATCCAGAGCATGAGACCATAATTTGAGCAAAGTTTTCCACTGGGCTGTCCTTCTCTCTGCCACACTGCCAGATGATTAAACATTACTGGTAGAAAGCTGGAATAGTTTTCCAGCGGCTGTAATTAGTTATTTCCTGTTATCATAGCAACAGCTAAGTCTTGATAACTATTTTTATAAAGTCCTGTAGTTTGGAACTTAAATTCCTTCTTTGTTTTAAAAGTAACTTTTATTTTTATTACCTCTCCACTGGGACTCTGTGGTGTTGGGAATTGACATACCAGCTGCCTTTTTGGGGCTTAGGAATCTAGCAACTTCACAAGCAGAATGTCAGAGCAGGAACATTTAGAAAAATTAAGTTGCCAAAAATTGTGGGATAAAAAAATCATTTTAATCCTATCCGTTTTTTTTAAAATGCTTAAAAAAAATTGGTTTAAAAATGGAAAAAATGGTGTGTGGTGTCTATGTTTATGCATTTAGCAGACGCCTTTATCCAAAGCGACTTACAAAGTAGACACAATTTTACAGTTATCACCAAAATTGACAGTAATCTAGAGAGCTAAAGCAGAAGCCAGGAACGATTTACAGTTAGTGACCAGGAGTCCTTTGTGCGGGATAGTCTGTATGTCCCCCCCCCCCACTGTCCCAATCAAACTCCTGCATTTGACTGGGTCATTTGGAAGAAAACAGAACCACATTCCTTGTAACAGAGCTGCACGTCATTGCTAACCCCAAGCATGATGCTCTTAACAAAAAAAGGGCAAAGCATTTTATTACAAAAAAGGATGAAAACTACATTTAAAGAAAAGGAAACGCAGAATCAACAAAGACTGTGAAACATTTATAACTTGGTAAAGCCAGTGACAGGTGATTCTCAGAGGGGAACGCAATAAAAAGCAACACAATGAGTGGGAAGAGAAAAGCACCCAGACATCCTTTTTATCACACATCTAGTCAGCCTAGCTAGACAGTTCTGGAATGATTTATTGGTGACAAAGATTCAAAATGCACTTTTTGCAGTTCTGCTTTGTAAATAAAAACACGTTAAATTCCTGAAGTTCAATGTAATTTATTTATATAGCACCATTTCATAACTCTTGTCATCTCCAGGCACTTTAGAGACAGTTCAACCAGATCATGCAGTCAGATTGATTCAAAGTTTCTATCAGGAAAAAAACAGCTGATTGTATCGACTTATTGAGTTGCAGGTCACGTTCCTCCTGGATGCGGAGATTATATTCACTTGCATTTTGTTGTTGACTCTTCAGTAATGCCTCACACTGAGCATGCATGTAATAATAATTGGACTTTATTGGTCTTGTATTAGAGAACTTTACCTCTGCATTTAACCCATCCCCTTGGTGAGCAGTGGGCTGCTATGGTGGGGTGTCCGGGGAGCAGTGTGAGGTTAAGGGTCTTGCTCATAGATCCAGAGTGTCAGTCTGGGGGAGTCGGGTTTTAACTCAGAACCTCAGGATTCAAAGCTCTATGCCATAACCACTTGCCCCCCCCCGCCCCTATGTAGTGGTAGTGCAGAGGAAATTCCCTTTTAAAAGGAAGAATGGGGTTCAAGGAGAACTGAGACAGAGACGGTAAGAGACGTACAAAACCATGCAGAGATACAAAAGGTAATGATAAACTAGCTTCCCAGGTGACTCTGTCTAGGAAAAAAGCAGATGATCTTGGAGCCAGTTCCCATTTCAAAGGATGAAAGAGATGCAGTTAATCACTGTAAAAGAAACAAGAGTCTACTAAAAAACTGGCCACGCTCCAACATTTATAAACAAAGGTGGTGATGGCAGCAGCACAGCTGATATTTCTCTCCAGGATGGAGTCACAGCCAAACAGGAACAGACGAGGCGAAACTACTAGGAGAAAAAGAGGAGAGAGCAGAACGTTAGAGATTGAACTAAGAAATATTGCAGAGATGGAATGATGTGGTCCCGAAACTTACTGCAGCATAAATGTAGAAAATAGCATAGAATAATTTTATCATTTGGATAAGGTATGAGTAAGGTAGAGCCAAGGAGAAACGTCCGTCTGGACTGAATTTTCCAATGCTGATTGGGCTGGTCATCGTTTTTTCTCCCACTTCTCTACTGACCCAGCGACTCAGCAAACATCACTGTGTTTCTAACTATCAGCTTCCA